TGTGTGTGGATTATGTTTATATTACATTGTGGGGCCCAAATGTCCCCCAAAATGTAATAAAAACCTGTTATTTAAAAAAAAATAAAGCTCCGTGACTGCAATCAAAAAACTAAAAAATTTGTTTGGTTACTTATGATTAGGGTTAGGGCTGGGAAGGGATTTCATATTTAGGATTAGGGTTATGAATGAAAGGAGAGTCCCACAGTTTAACTGTGTCACTGCAACGGGACACATGATGAAGGGGAGAAACTGGTTTCCAGAATGAGGTTTATAGGTTGAAAATGACAAGAATTCAATATATATTAAATGTAGCACAGAAAATGAGTTTGCTTTTTACTATCTATTGGAAAATTAAATGTATCTTATCTGATTTTTTGCTTCTTATGAAAGTTATACAAAAAACTGAACTGAAACTGAACAGGAAAAAATGTGCTTTGGTTTGTTTCTAGGGTCCCAGAGGACTTCCAGGAGAAATGGGGAGGACAGGGGAAAAGGTGAGACCTCGGGCCCCGCAGTCAACATTTGTGTGATTTTCACTTGGATTTCATGTAATAAAACCAGAGCACAGACATGGAGACTGAGGTCGCTGCCTCCGCAGACCCACCTCACATCTCTCTCTCTCCTCCTTTGCCAGGGAGACATTGGCCAGCCGGGATCAAAGGTGAGCACCTCCTTTACGTATCTGATTATCCCACTAAGTGGCTTTGGCTGTAATGGCAGCTTGGCGTCCGCTGGTACTAAGCACTGCCCTGCCGGGCCTCCGTAGTCTGCTGCTGTAATAAAGACCGACCTTGAGGAAAAGGGGCAGGTCACGGGTGTGTGTGTGGGGGGGGGGGGGGGGGGGGGGGGGGGGGGTCAGTCGGGACGCTGGGATGCTCTGAGGCAGTGGGACAGCCATCCTGGGGAGTGGCAGCATGCTGCACTGTAATCCCACTGAGTGCGGCCAATGGGACCCTGTCAATCATTCCCGCTCCCATACACGGTCACTCCAGCTTCTCCGGAAGCCTTCGTTCAAGTAGAGGCCAGAGATCCCAGCCGGAGTGCCGGAGTGCCGGAGTCTCCTGGCACACGCCTAGGCCCCTGCATGGGCCGTGCTCTCGTTCATGCGTGTTTTATTTATGTGTTCTTTTTGAGACAGCTCTGACATACAGTACAAATCAAAAGTCTGGACACACCTACTAAAAATCGTTTTTTCGCAAGATAAGCATCGCTTGAGGTTATGCAGTAAGCTTTATCTAGTGAAGAAGGAAAGAGAGGGAGTGCTGTGACAGATGATCTGGTCCCCAAAATCCCCCCCCCCCAACCTAAACCCTATAGAGCTGCTTTGGGATGAGTTGGATTGAAGCGTAAGGACACGGTAGCCAACTTGTGGCCATAACTTGTGGAACCTTCTTCAGGACTGTTGGAGAGGCATTCCAGGTGGCTACATCAGGAAGCTGGTGAAAGAATGCCAAGAGTCTGCAATGCTGTCATCTAAGCCAAAGGGGGTTTTTTGAAGAGTCTGAAATTTGAGAACATTTTGAGATTGTTGCAATATTTGATGCGTATTACTTCATTGCCTCAAGGCCTTTTACTACAAGATGAATGACTTAGCTAAAACAGGGACAGATGCATGAAAAGCAGCTGTGTCCAGAATTTTGACTGGTGCTGTAGTTTACAGAAGCTCTTTGAGTAAGACTGTGCTTTCACACCAGCTGGGTCATGGGTTCGAATTCTGCCCAAGCCTGTGGGCTTCCTCTTCCTAGCTTTTCCTGGCATATGGTTCAAGTTCACTGTGACCCTGCATTGGATAAACCGGTGGATGGATGGTTTAGGACTGTTTACTTTTCATATTTTGTTGTAGTTAATGATGAGTTTTATTTTATGCTGATTTAATGGATGTTTGCTTCTGTTGGGTCTTGGCAGGGTCATACTGGTCCGCCAGGTCTCCCAGGACGACAGGGATCAACGGGAAAGCCAGGACCAATCGGACCCCAAGTAAGTAAGTCATGCTTCGAACACGATATCATAAATGTATCTCCTCTCCTTGGATCACACTGTTACCTCCTCTCCTGTGATCACACTGTTACCTCCTCTCCTGTGATCACACTGTTACCTCCTCTCCTGTGATCACACTGTTACCTCCTCTCTTATGAGCCCTCAGCTGCGTTTGGGGTGTCTGTTCACTCTCTCTGACTCTATCCTGCCTCACTCCTCTCTGAGACTCTCGGCTTTCTTGGCATCCTCTAGGGTGAGAAGGGAGATTCTGGAATAGTGGGACTGCCGGGGGCACGAGGACCGATCGGCCCCAAGGTCCGTGAGTCTGGCTGCATGCTATCCGATGATGTACATCCATTCGCTCACCCAACCATCCATCTATCTATCAAATCAATAAATCAATCGGTCAAACAAGTAGTCAGGCAGGCTATCCATCAATGAACAATTAACCAATCAAGCTGTTAATCAATCAAGAGATTTATCACGAAATCAAGTACTTTACTGGTAAATATTTCCCAAGTAATACCCAGATTAAGTCTATATCCAGCCATCACAATATCAGTGAAACGCTTTTTATAATGCTGAGGACTACAAATCGGCAGTGATTAAAAAGTGAAGTCAGGAAGCAACAGGAAAGGATTTCTGCTCTGAAGAAGCTGCCGATGACCCTTATTCTCTGTATCTTTCACGGTTCATCATCGAACGTTTTAATCTTCACGTTTCGGCAGGGTTTGCCCGGACACAAAGGAGAAAAGGTGAGGCCCTCGCTCGCATAGACACAACCAGCACTTAATAAATGTCCAGTGGGATAAACACATTGATTTGGGAATCGATAGTGGGGTGGAGCAGATGCTTATAATTAATCCCTGTTCTTGGACCTGCCATTGATTCTGTTCTCGTCCTTCTAATTAACTGTTTATTCATGCACTGCTGCCAGGGCTCTCAAGGTGAACGAGGCGAGGCTGGGAGAAAGGGGGACAAGGTGAGATGGTGCTGGCGTGCCGGGGGGGGGGGGGGGGGGGGGGCTACAGCACCTTCACAGGTAGCCGAACACGTAGAGCCCAGGTGCATTTCTCAGCGCTGGGCGGCTCCTCTTTGCACAGTTAGCATGGCACGGTTAGCATCTTTGGCTAACACTGTCACCTGCTAACTGCTAAGCATGAGCTAAAGGCGATGTTCTCCGTCCACCATTTCACACCCAGCCTGACTGATGTTCTCTGTTCCTCAGGGTTCTGTCGGTTTTCCTGGAATGCTGGGCCAGAAGGTGAGCCAACTCCTTGATATAAATCATGAATATTAATACGTTGCTCTGGATAGAAGCCTCTGCTATACAATAAATGTATTGTAGATGTAATAATTAATTATGATGAACCTGCATCATTATCTTTCTTTTGGGTGTAAATCTAGAAGCAGGTAGAAAATAATGTAATAACCTTTTAAGCAACAAACACATTAAAAGTGATTGTTACCTCGCAGAGTCAGAGACTTTAAACCTGAAAGTTTTTATTGTGCATCTGTACCTCAGTTATGGCTTATATGGAATTTTTGATGCCCCCCCCCCCCCTCCACACGCTTTCTCAGGGTGAGATGGGCCCAAAGGGAGAGCCTGGTTTTGGGGGTAACAGGGGACCCACGGGACGCCCAGGAAAGAGGGGCAAACAGGTGAGGAGAGAAGGTGTACCATTCTGTAGTGTACAGGTTCAGGGTACCATTCCTCATGAGGTGAGACTGACTGCTGGTCTGATGCATACTGGAAGGCTTATCCGCATCAGACAAATGAATAGACAGGTATAAAGGATCATGGGTCTATTCAGTGGAGAAACAAATTGCACACGTTCTGCCTTTATAAAAATATTGAGTATTGTCTATTCATCATCACTTGGGAGTATCAGTGTACCATTCCACAGTGTACAGGTTATCATTTGCAGTGTGCAGGTTGCCATTCCGCAGTGTACAGGTTACCATTCGCAGTGTGCAGGTTCGGCGTANTTATCATTTGCAGTGTGCAGGTTGCCATTCCGCAGTGTACAGGTTACCATTCGCAGTGTGCAGGTTCGGCGTACCATTCCACAGTGTACAGGTTACTATTCCCAGTGTGCAGGTTACCAATCCGCAATGTACAGGTTACCATTCTGCAGTGTATAGTTTCAGTGTACTATTCCAGTGTACAGGTTACCATTCCGCAGTGTACAGGGTCTGTTTGCCACTCTGCAGGGTACAGCTTCTCGGTGTACCATCCCACAGCGTGCAGGTTCTCTGCATACCATTCAGTAGCGTACAGGTTCATGTTGAAGTGCCCTCTGTGTGCTGAGGACAGGCCAGTTAGCCTTGCACGCATCAGAGTGTCTTTGCCGGTCCTAGCACCAAGGATTTACTGGCCATACGACCCAGAGAGATCTGTCTCAGTCAGGACCCCTGCTTCCTCTTCCATGTCACCTGTCATCTAACAATTTGCCAAGCTGTGGTGTCTGCTAGTTACTTTGGGGTCAGGTGACATGTGACTCGCATGTTATTGTATTACATGGGAAAACTGCTTTTCCTCAGGTGGCTTCTCTTTCACATTTGGCCAGAGGGCTATGTGGGAGGGACAGGATGGGGTAGAGGGGGATAGGAGATACCATCTCCTGGAGAGAGCAAGGGGAGGATGGAGAGAGGGAGATACCATCAGCTACAGAAAGTCGAGGGGTTATTATCCTTGTGAGGGGAAGAGTGTCTTGAGAGATACCATCAACTATAGTTAGTGGGCGCAATGATTAATGTTTCAATGCTACAACTGAAGGGGGCAGGTGGTTGGAGAAGGAGCCAACTGATAGTGATATATACCATAGGGATAAAATAGGGTTGGCAGGCTATATTGCTGTGTGTAAGTGGTGACTGAGGTCTATGTCACTGTACACCTGATACAGGGCGAGAAAGGAGACGCCGGAGCCAAAGGTGTCATGGGCGCCATGGGTCCCCCTGGTCCCTTTGGTCACCCCGGCCCCCCCGGGCTGCCAGCATCAGGTAAGAGTGTTGGGTCCTGTCATCTTCAGCACACAGGAATTCTGTTTGGTGAATAGTGGGTATTCACGGTTCATCGCGCACAATTAGCACGACGGAGTGGATTTTATCACTATTTGTGTTACAGGATCTTTGGCTAAACACTAGGTGGGCTTATAGGACCTATTCAGGATGCTCTCTTGAGCACTTTGACACAAGGTGCGGCAGTGAGGCCATTCGGAAGTAACTCGTACTCAAGAAGGTCTTATCAGCCTGGTCCACCCAAGATAAAATGGAAGCCGGAAAATAGTGAAGTCATTACATCATGTTCTAAGTCTGATGCCGGGGACAAGCAAACATTATGTCACTGCCTAATTCAGCTGGTGTCTTCCTGACATTTCCTGGCAACTTATCCTCAATTGCTAGACCAACTTGACAGACTAGCATGGCTGGGAAAGTCTGGAAGCCCAGTCTATTAAGGGAAATATCTCTTGGCTTCTTATCCATCTGTGTCCTGGAATATCAGGCTGGGGTATGTGTTCAGGGCAGAGGAGCTGACAGCAAATGAAAGTAATTAAGAGGTCATGGGGTTGCAAGTTCCCGCTGGATGGGTTTTCTTCAGGGATATCTGAGAACCTGAAGCTCAGGTGGATTACAAATAGATGTTACTCTGTTACTAAGTGTGTTATTCCAATCAGGCTTACAGAAATCTATACAAAGGTATTTGGGCAAAAGATTAGAGTCGTACACCTTTGTAGGTTTATACCGTTTCATATCCTAAATGAAGCTGAGGTCTGGTCAACAACAATCTTAAGTCAACAACAATACAGTCGAACTCCTTGAGTTTACACTAGGGTGACCATCTAATCCATGTCAGGAGGGACACTATGAGCTACAACAGGATTTGTAAACTACCATTTCATACATTTCAATTAAAAGGACCAGGATTTCACTTAAGCACTGGGTTCTTGCCGTGTGCTGATTGGTCAGT